TCTCACAGGAGGGAGCACTCTCAGGAGACAATGCTGATTTGGGGAAGGAGAGAAAAGCAGTTTCAGAATCTTATAAATTTATAGGAAAACTCAAGGATTTTAGTGCTTTATGTATTTTTTCTGTTAGGGCAACATTTTAAGTTTTAAGAAGAATTCAGATAATCTAGAATACTTATTATGAGAGAAAGGAAAGGGATGAAGCAGGAACTCAGGTCGGGTTGCCGGACTGCACTCAGGGCTCAGCGTCCAGTCTCTCTCCCTGCTGGTTCAGTAGATTAATCTTCCTAAGTGGCTTTTTTATCAGATTTTTCCACTTTGAGGAAAATTTAATTGGCCTCATTATTTGTTCATAAATCCCTGTCCTGATTAAATAAATCGTAGAACCTGAAGTTCTGTTCTTTAACATGGCTGTTCAGTTTACCCATTTATTCAGCATACAATCTGTCAGAATCCCTCTCAAAGTGGACTCGCTGGAATGACTCAGCAGCTTTGCTGGGCCAGGCATTTAAAATACTATACAGTCTTGGCTCGGCGCTCGTAACTCAGTGGTTAGGGCACCAGCCACATACACCGGGACTGGCGGGTTCAAACCCAGTCCAGGCCTGCTAAACAGTAATGACAACTACAACCAAAAAATAGCCAGGCGTTGTGGTGGGGTCTTGTAGTGCCACTTGGGAGACTGAGGTAAGAGAATCACTTAAATCCAATACTTTGAGGTTGCTGTGAGCTGTGACGCCACGGCACTCTACCAAGGGCAACATAGTGAGACTCTGTCTCTAAATAAATAAATAAATAAATAAAATACTATATACAGTCTTACCTCGACCTGTTTTTCTATCCCCCTTTTCCCTTATAATTGTTTTTCAAATTAACTCATTGCAATCAAGTTGCTTATTCGCTACTCAATATTATCTTAAGTTAATATTTTCAATAATCCATTTTTATTAACATTTAAAATTTCTTAAACACACAAGGAATGTGTGCTCATTTTATGCTCTTTAGATTTTCAGAGTCATCTTTAAAATGAGAAACTCCTTCTCAGGATGTTACACAGATAGGTTTCTTTTTGATTTCTTTTTTTTTTTTTTTTATCATGTGCTTTGTATTGTTTTACAAAATAATAGATATTCGTTGGGCAATGCTCTGTTTTTTGCTTACTTGAACCCTTACAATTTTCATGTTAAATTCATAAAAAAAGTTCTCATTTTATTTTAAAAAATATTTTTGGGGCAGTGCCTGTTGCTCAAAGGAGTAGGGTGCTGGCCTCATAACACCAGAGGTGGTGGGTTCAAACCCGGCCTCGGCCAAAAACGGAAAAAAAAAAATTAAAACTGTTTTTGGTTCAACTAATACAAGATGTTAAAATCAGTATCAAATATAATAACAATCTTTATATGTAATCTACTATGTATTATCACTATAAAGCATGATCTTTGTGCAACTTACAATCTAAAAAAGTTAAAAGTATTTTCCCTCTTCTTAAAAGTTAATCTAGGTCAAGCGTCTTTTGAAGCCATGGCATCGATTATAAACCGACTTCACAAAAACCTGGAAGGAAGTCACGATCAGCATGGCAGAAACAGCCTTCTCTCATCCTACATCCATTACGTTTTTCGCCTGCCAAATACTTACCCTAATTCGCCATCACCAGGTATCTGTTCTTTTGACTGTAGGGCTGCCCTTCATCCTGTCTGTGGCAATATTGAGATAGTTCTGTGAGGCATAGTGTGACGGATTCATCCAGTAACAGACATTTATTGAACACCAGCTAAGTAGCATTCACTGGGCTAGTTGCTAGAATTAAAGGGATAAATAAGTTACATTTTTAAGAATTGTTATTTATATAATAACTTTCTTTTTATTTGAATTAGAAATCCTGGTTGAGTTCATTCTTGGAAATGGAAAGTAACTTCTTACGTCTCTAGAAGCGTTTTGTGATTACCTTGTTAAATAGGGACTTTACATTTGTCATTCAGAGAGCTCTCAGGTGTCGAAGAAGGGACACGGTGGCTCAGTAGTTCCCTGAGAACTCTATGAAACCTGCAGTGATATAACAGTGTTTTCTAGGAAAGGTCTGATCTCTTCATGGTCAATAAAATAATAGCCTTTCTGAGTGTTGGAACCCCAAGTAGTTACGTATGTTGTGTGACGTTGGTGGTAAGAGTGGTGGTGGTGGGGGGGCATATCTTAGTTTGAATAGCCCTAAAGTTGCCCGTTAGCTGATGATTATGTCGTACATGCTTTCTAGCCTGCTACGTACTTGTCTTTATTACACTGGTGATAGTGGTAAGTTCCGTTTTCCAGCTGTTGAATTATGTTAACGTTGATAATGGGGACAGATAATTATGGAATTCATTATGGAAACTAGGTATAAGAGTAATCTGACTTTAAGTGTCAGCCCACTTCATTTCGTTACTTCATTGCGGAAAGAGAAGCAGCTGACTCTGACATTCTGGTTCATAAGTTCCTACGTGATTTTTAACATCGCAGTGCACTCCGTGAGATCTGAGTGGGGGAGTGACGTGGTCTCCTCGGGGCGCGTCAGCTCACCCTTCATTCAGCTCACTGTTAGGAGTCCACAGAGTTTGCAAGACATCTTTCTTCCTTGCCGTTTATGACTTGTTAGTTAATTTACACAGCACATAAGATTGTATAAATTAATAAGTTAATAGGTAGTATCATTTACTAATATGACATTCAGAGAGAATTCTGTAAGTTATAAAATGGAAAAAGGTTATGAATATAATTGCTGGATATTTTTGTGTTCATGAAATATAGTTGAAAGATGATTTTTATCTTTAGTTTTTTGTATGTATATCACAGAGATGTCATTTTGTTATTGTTCACATCATCACTAGTGAAGACAGAGAAATAAAGCACGGTCTCAGTGAAGAGAAGCCAGCAGTAAACTTTGGCTTTTCCTCTAATGACTGTGTATCGGGCAGAGTAGACGGGTGGGAAACAGGAAAAGCTGGAGCATTTTGGGTCCTAGATACACTAATATCTAAGTGAAGGTGTGTGCATGTGCCTGTTTCCTATTAATTTTGTTTTTTATTGCACATATAGTATATAATCATAGAAACATTGACAAGATAGTGATTTTATTTATGATTCATATGGTTTAATAAGCTAGGTTTTATAGTTTGCTATAAACTATCTTTGTGTAGCTGTCATTAGTTCTTGGATGTTTTTATTTATTTTGTCATGTATAGAATTTATTTTTAAATTTTGTTTATTTGTTATTGCAAATCAATAATTTATAATTATATAAGGTTATGGGGTACAAAGTGGTGTTATAATCCATTTATACAATGTGGAATAATTACGTCAAACTAGTTGACATCTCTGTCACCTCAAACATTTATCATTTTTGTGGTAAGAACATTTGAAATTTACTCTCTTAGCAATTTTGAAGTAATGCGTAGAATTTTTCATGTAAAAAAACAAATACAATTCATGATCTTTGTGGAATTTTGTAAAGTGGCAGAGGTTTTTTCCAGGGCCTTTCCTAACTAATTTTTTTGTTGTTGTTTAATTCTGTGCTGTTGTAAATGCATCACTAGGTCCTGGGGGTTTGGGAGGATCAGTGCATTACGCCACGATGGCTAGATCTGCTGTGAGACCTGCAAGCCTTAATTTAAACCGTTCCCGGAGCCTTAGTAATAGTAACCCAGACATATCTGGGACCCCCACCTCACCTGATGATGAAGTTCGCTCAATCATTGGCAGTAAGGTAAACTGAACATACGTGTTAGTAAATTTGGTTTTCATTTTATGAGCAAATGAGAAAGCAATGGATTAAATTTCTTTAATCTGAATTTTGAGATGAATGTGAGTCAGGAATAAGGAAGAAATTGTCTGTTTCTGTTTTATCAGTAAGCACTGTTTTAGGTTTCTATTAAATATGTATGCTGTTCCAAACTGGTTTGGGTACTCTGCTAAAAAAAAAAAAATCTGCCAAATTCTAAAATGTGTATGGGATGACTGGTTACCTGTAATTTACTCTTGTTGGGTGTCTGATGCTCCATCGTGTGAAAAACGGCTAACCTGACCTCCGTAGAATGAAAGGAGACCTGTGTGACTGCCGTATGTGAAGAGACGTGTCATCAATTGAAGTCTGAACCCCCTTTCTCAAAAAATAGCCAGAAGGGTTCTTAGCCTTCACTGGTCATAGAGCTGCATTTTACATGAAATTGTATGTAAGGTACACCAGGATCAGAAAAGTGTGACTTACTTAGTAATTAATGATTATCCCAGACAACGAAGGAGAGGGGCCAGCTTGTATGAGATTCTGTTATATTTTATTCAAAACATCCACCTTTATTACACCCCCAGAATACGTAAGGCATGAGTGATTATTGCCTTTCTATAGATAAAATGCAAAAATAACCAGAAGTTTAGGCAAGCAGAGTAAAAAAACAGGAAGACTGAAGCCAAGAAATTACTTTATGTCTTGTTTTGGCCAAACTCTTTCAAACTTACTTTTTGCTGTTGGAGAGATGAAAATATTCTTACAGAGTCATAGCCAACTTTGGGGGGAGATTTTAGACTGTTAACTAGGAAAGGAAGAATAAATAAGCATGTTCAGGGCAGGGATATCCCACCTGCGGGCTGCAGCCACATGTGGATTTTTTGAGGTCTGTTTTACTTATTTGTGGTGTTAGATTGCAAAAGGTAACACTTGGAACTTTTTCTTTTTTTGCTCATCAGCTATTGTTAGTGTTTGTTTCTTTACTGTGTGGCCCAGAACAAGTTTTATTTCTCCAGTGTGTGGAAAGGCTGGACACCCTTGCATCTGTATATTAGCCTGAACTATAATAGAACTTCTAAAGGTCTGAGTTGCTTTAAGTGAAATTCTTGAACATTGATCAGAAACAAAACTGTTCTTTTTTTTCTTTTAATTTCGGGTTATTATGAGGGTATAGCAACTACGTCACAATATATGAATTTGTTAGGTAGAGGCCATCTTGTAGCTGTGTCCTGCACCCAAAAAGTGTGCCATACACCCCTACATTGTGCCCATTAAGTGGGAGCATGCCCAGGCCCCCTTCCTCTCCCCTCCTCCCTCCTTTCTTCCCCCTCCCCCTAACTTGAATTGAATTGAGTTTTACTCCTATGTGGGCATAAATTAGACCATCTACTGGCTTCAAAATAAAACGAACGCATTGGATATTTGCTTGTCCATTCTTGAGACACTTTACGAAGAAGAATATGTTTTATCTCCATCCAGGTTAATACAAAAGAGGCAAAATTTCCATCTTTTTTAACGGCTGAATAGAGTTTGTTAATCCATTGCTGAGTTGACGAGCATGTAGGTTGTTTCCGCATCTTGACAGTTGTACATTGAGCTGTGATAAACAATCTAGTGCAAATGTCCTTATGATAAAAGGATTTTTTTCCTTCTGGGTAAATGTCTTCCCCAGAAGTGGGATTGTGGGCTCCAATGGGAGGCCGAATTTGAATTCTCTGAGGATTCTCCATACTTCTATCCAAAGAGGCTGTATTAGTTTGCAGTCCCATCACCAGTATAAAAATGTTTCCCTCTCTCTCCACACCCAGGCCACCATCGACAATTCTGGGACTTTGTGTGTGATGTGGGCTATTCTCACTGGGGTTCAGCCATATCTCAGGACGATTTTGATTGCATTTCCTGATGACTAGGGATGATGAGCATTTTTTCACATGCCTGTATACCATTTATCTGTCTTCCTCAGAGAAAGTTCTGTTCCTATCTTTTGCCTAGTGTTAAATGGGATTGTTTGTTCTTTTTTTGTTGATTAATTTGAGTTCTCTATAGATCCTAGTTATCAAGCCTTTGTCAGATGTGTAACATGCAGATATCTTTTCCTATTCTGAAGGTTGTCTATTTGCTTTAATTGTTGTGTGCTTAGCTGTGCAGAAACTTTTCAGTTTAAGTCCCATTTGTTCATTTTTGTTGTTGTTATGAAGAAAGTCTTCTTCATAAAATCTTCCCCCAGCCTGATGTCCTCAAGAGCTCTTCCCCACACTTTCTTCTACAAGTATTATCATTTCATATCTTAGATTTAAATATTGAGTCGATTTTTGTAAGTTGTGAAAGGTGCAGGTCCAGTTTCAGTCTTTTACATGTGGTTGTCCAGTTCTCCCAGCACCATTTATTGAATTAGGGATTCTTTCCCCTACTGTATGCTTTTCTTTGGTTTATCAAAGATCAGATGGCTATAAGAGACTGGTTTCATTTCTTGGTTTCTATTCAGTTCCACATGTCTGTGCCTCTATTATTGTGCCAATACTGTGCTAGTTGGATCACTGTGGACTATAGTACAGCCTGAAGTCTGGCAGAGTGATGCTTCCGGCTTTGTTTTTATTCCTAAATATTGCCTTAGCTATATGGGTTTTTTTTTTTTTCTGAATCTCTCTTCTGAAATGAAGAACTATTTTTTTCCAGTTTTTCAAAGTATGATATTAGTATTTTAATGGAGATTGCATTGAATCTGTAGACTACTTTGGGTAGTATACACATTTTAACAATGTTGATTCTTCCCAGCCTGGTATATTCCATTTGTTAATGTCTTCTCCTATTTCTTTTCTTAGAGTTTCATAATTCTCTTTGTAGCAGTCCTTCACCTCTTTTGTTAGGTACATTACAAGGTATTTCATTTTCTTCAAAGCTAATGTGAAGGGAATTGTGTCTTAGATTAGCTTCTCAACTTGGCTGTTTTTGGTGTATATACAGGATACTAATTTATGGACAATTGATTTTATACTGAGACATTACTATATTGATCACTTTCACTTCATTATGTTTATCTTTTTGAAGAATAAACTTTTTGCTTTATTAATGTTTCAAATGATTCTTTTGTTTTCAATGTCAGTGCTTGATATTGATCTGTTGAAGAGATCTGTTTCTTCCTGGTTAAGTCTATGGAGATGGTGTGATTCCAGGTATTGGTCCATTTCCTCCTTATTTCAGATTGTTTCTTGTAGTAGTCAGAGATAATCGCTTGTATCTGTGGTATCTGTTGTTACTTCCCATTTTTTTTATTTCTTACTGAGGTGTTAGAGATTTTACTTTTCTGTTTCTAGTTCATCTGGCCAAAGGTTTGTTGATTATGTTTATCTTTTCAAAGAACCAACTTAATGTTTTGAATGATTCTTTTGTTTTCAATTTCATTTATTTATGATTTAATGTTGGTTATTTCTTTTCTTCTGCTAGGTTTGGGATTGGATTGCTCTTCCATTTCCTTAAGATGATTCATTAGGCTATTGATATGCTCTCTTTCTGGTTTTTTGGATATAGGCTTCTAATGCAATAAATTTCCCTCTTATGACTGCTGACCAGTATCCTACATGTTTGAGTAACTTGTAGCTTCGTTGTTGTTATGTTTAAGGAATTTAACAGTTTCCTTCCATATCTCTTTTTTGACCCAACTGTCATTCAGCATAAGGTTGTTTAATTTCCATGACTTTGTATGGAGATGAAAATTTTTGCTGAAGTTGAGTTCTACCTTAATAACCTTATGGTCTGAGAAGATTTACAAGGTGTCATTTCAATTCTTTTATTTTTTTTGAGGTTTGCTTTGTATCCTAGGATATGATATATTTTGGTTTACAAGAAGAACATATATGCCTTAGCTTTGGGATGATATGTTCTGTATATGTCTGTTAAGCCTATTTGTCTTAGGATCACATTTAAGTCCCTTGTATCTGTGTTTAGTTTCTGTGTAGAGAATCTGTCTAGTTCTGTCAGAGGGGTGTTAAAGTCCCCAGGTATTATTATATTATTGGATATCATATTGCTCAGACTAATCAAGGTCTGTTTCATAAATCTGAGAGCATTTAAGTTGGGTGCATAAATATTTAGAATTGAAATGTCCTCTTGTTATAGTGTTTCCTTGACCAGTATAAAGTGACCATCTTTGTTTTTCTTAACTTTAGTTGCTTTAAATCCACTTGTATTTGAAAATAAGATTGTGACCCATTCTTATTTCAATTTCCATTTGTCTGAAAAAATATTTTCTATCCATTTACCCTGGGTCTTGTTTTATCCTTCAACGTTAGATGTATTTCCTGTAGATAGCATTCGGATGGCCTGTGCTTTTTTATCCAATAGGAGAGCCTGTGCCTCTTCAGTGGAGAATTTAAGCCATTTACATTTATTAAGAGTATTGATAAGTGTGGTGGACTTCTGTTCATCTTATTTTGTGAATATCTGTTGCTTAGTTTTATCCTTTGCACCTTTGTGGAACCCAGATTTTGTCCTTTAGCTTCTGGGTGTTTACTTTTCTGGTGGTCTATTATGATCATCAGTGTGGAGAATAGGTCTAAGTATTTCCTATACAGCAGGTCTTGTGTGGTCAGTTTCCTCAGTGTTTTTGCATATTAGTAAAAGATTTGATTTCTTCATCAATTTTGAAGCTTATTTTAGCAGGATGCAGAATTCTGGGCTAAAAATTGTTTAAGAAGATTAAAGGTAGGTGACTATTCTCTTTTGTCTTGGAAAATTTCAGCTGAAAAGTCTACTGTCACTCTGATGGATCTGCCGTTGTAGGTCAAGTTATGCTTACTCCTGACTGCTTACAAAATTTTCTCTTTGTGTTGACTTTGGATAGGTTCATTGCAATGTGTCTTGCAAATGCTCTATTTGTATTGAGACTATCTAGGGTTCTGTATCCCTCTAAAATGAGTGTTTTGGAATCTTTAATGAACCTTTGGAAATTTTCATTTATGATATCATCTAATAGGGCTTCCATC